CGATTGTTTTGTTACCTGCGAAGGAGCGACGGAGGCGAGATCGAGCAAGTGTGCGAAGGAAGGTCGGCTGCGGGGTTGAGGGTAGCCGAAGGAAATTTTGGAGCCGAAACGCGGATCGCGGGGATATACCCGCGATCCGCGTGTAACATAAATAAAAAAAGCTGTTCTAAAAAACGCAGTAAAAACGTGATTTTCAAACGCTACGGCGGGGTTTTCAAAAACGCCGCCGCACATTTCAGCTGTCCCAAACGGGCCCTTATATTGTAAGAGAATAAATGAAACAATCGAAATAAATAATTATTCTTTGATGTGATGGTGGAATTTGAATGATGAGATATTTTTACTTTTTCAAGATGAATTATAAGAGACAAATTTTAGTTGGCCAAATTTGATGGCTAGTTTCATCCAGAAAATTATCTGAAAAGTTTAAGAAACTTTTAAAATAAATTGTATGCTAGTAAAAACACTTCATGGTATAGTGAGGAGATTTGTGAACCTGTTAAGAAATATAATTCATTTTAAAAGTTAATAAAATTAAATACTATTGAACCTGATAATGATTATAATAAAGCTATAAGTCCTATAAAAAAGTATAATGATTAAATTAATTAACTAGAAGCCTCTTATAAGAGAATTTTTTCTAAAGGACATAACAACAACAACAACAACAAGCCTTTATTCCACTAAGTGAGGTTGGCTACATGAATCTTTTTTCTCTCTATTGAGCATCATATTTTCATTTAATTGTAACAGATTAAGATATTTTTTAATACAATATGTCCAAGTCATTCTTGGTCTACCTTTGTCATTCTTAACATAAGTTGAATCTAAAACATCTACTCTCCTAACATGATTATCATATGGTCGACGTTTAATGCGACCAAACTATCGTAGACGATTCTCTAATTTTGTCCACCACTGGAGCTACACCAACCCTATTATAGATATATCCATTTCTCATTTTGTCTCGAAGAAATAAATTGAACATTTAAGGCTAGAAATTGGTAAACTTTAATTTTGTTAGGCGCACTAGAAGTGATATGATCTATGTAAAAAATAAAGATTTTAAGAAAGAATGAAATTACTATTTTAAGAAGTTATTAATTGATAGTTTTAACGAAGAAATTATTTTTGTGGATAATGAGCAAAATAATGAGATATATTATACAAATATGAAGTAGAATTGGCCTTGCAAGTAAAATTTTGTGTCAAATGAGTTGTTTATTACGATTTGTAGAATTATGAGGACATTGGAATGTTTTAATTAATGAATCTTTTTAATGAAGAATTGAAAAATAAGACGATAACAATTAATTGAGATAACTTTTTAGTAGCAATATTTATTTACAAAGAAGATGTTCAGTACTATATTAAATATAAAGAATCAAACAGTTGTCACACAATTAATTTATGGGGAGAATAATGGAATATACATTTAGAAAAAGTACATCTGTTTTGAAATTAATTTATGTTAAGATAGTTAATAAAAAGAAGTTAGTGAACTGAGAGGAGCTTCATTTGATATTTATTGTTCTTGAGATGACAATCAAATTAAATTCGAATTAATTTAATGTGCATTAAGAAATTTGTGTCGATGTATATTCAAGTTATTAAAATTATTTATGATGAAATACTAATTAGTAATAAAAGTATATATTAATTACCCTTGTGTTTTTTTTTGTTTTTAGTTACAGTAGAATTGCATCAATAATTACAGTTGGGCAGTGTAGAAGCTGTTGGTAGCAAAGTTTAGTGGTGTGAAATGAGAAAGTAAAATAAATGTGGCCAAGACAGAGAATAGAAATGGCTGAAGTTTCTATTATTGAAAAATATAATTAGTTGAATTTGACATTTACACAATGAAAGGTATAAAAGTGCACCTGTTGGCTGGCTAGATCAAAGTAGTGTCGGGAGACTAGGAAGGAGAAGTGGTTAGATCTAAGGTTACATAGATCTGATTGAAATTATGCAATTAATAAATTTTAAATATCAAGCAACACTGAAAAAAAATTGAAAGAAATTTAGGATTCATAAAGTTGATTTGAGATTATCGTGATAAGGCGAATGATGATGATGATGCATAAAAATACTAGAAAAACTTGTCTTTTTCCCCGATAAGAACATCCTTATTTTCTTAATTTACATGGTTAAGAAATGCTGGAAAAGCTCATAATGTTGCTACACATTTTTTCCAATTGCGTACCTTCCAACACATTTATAGTATGACTCAATTTAGGAGCACGTGAAGTTGCAAGAGATGCTCGCAAATCAGAACCAGATGATCTAATTAATTCAGCAGTTGGGGGATTTACCAGTGGAGCTCTTCTTGGGCGGCTTCAAGGTAGGTAATCAGAACTGCCTTTTGTATTTCAGGTGGGCTTTTGGTCAAAATTTCACTTGAGTCATATCAAATAAGGATGCAACAAGGAAATTATATAGATTCTTTCATCTTTCAATTCAAATATTCCAGACCTGTGCCTGTAGCTCGTGCAACTTGAGTCCATTTTTTTATGCTCTTCTTGTGCTACAAGTAGTACAATGGACTCAAAAAAAATGTGGCATTATTGTCATAGAAGTTGATAACCGGACTGGACCTTATTTGCATTTAAAGCCCGAAATGTTATTATGGATTATGTTTCTTTCTTATATGACTAAGCGTACAGGTGGCCAGTTTGGAGCAATCCGTTATTCTGTGATATTTGCAGTCGTTGGGACGGCTTTTGACTTTACTACACTGAAGCTAACGCCTATCTTGCAGCACTTCATAAGGACCGCATCTGAAGTGAAATCCCAGAAAAATGATGGCAGCAGCTCAAGCTGGTGGAGAATACCTGAGTGGTCTCCAATTCAGATATTGGACGAAGAGGCTTTGGCTGCAAAGCGAGCTCGTGAGCAAAAAATTTATGCTCAGAGAGTGCTAAGCAAACTAGAAGAAGAATCTTAAGTTCTGGAAGTGCCTTTGCAAATCTCCTGACTTTCTTTTCAGCCTACTAGTTGCAGGTGGCATAAGATTTTCGATTGGTTCCTGTTATTATAACCGACCTTTCATGATTCTTGGCAAAAGGAAAGGTCAAATTCTATCCATAAAAAAAATCATCAAAATCTTGCAAGATTTGGGAGATCACATAAGGAGATAAACTGTTAAAATTTGAATATACATTAGTATATAATTTTGTATAATGAGCTTGCCTTTGTTGTGGACTTAAACATGTATAGTAATATAGGTGATACCAAGGATTTTCTGGCATGTTAAATTTTTTTTTTTCTTTCTAAATCAAATTTGTCATCGTTTTCGAAGACCCGAATGTCTTTTTGTCCTTGCACAATGTTCATCCTTGGCATTTTGTTGAATTTTTTTAAACCTTAAATCAATCTTGTGAATAAGTTGTAAGCTACTAAAGTTTACCTCGTTTTATCTTTATTTTTTTTTCTTAAATGCTTATTTTGTCGTTAAACTGATACCTTCATTAAGGTTTGAAATTCATAAGAAAAAAATGTTATGATTCTTAGAACATAATGTATCGTATTTTGAGTGTTTGATGTCTTGTGTTTGTATCACTTAACACTTGAAATCCTTTAGCACCATATGAAACATTAAAGAAAGTTTTGATGCTAAGCAGTTCATCAACTTCTGAATATTTTTCGCATCCTGATGTCCATTTAAATGATATTGTTTTGTGTTAATCTAGTTATTCAAAGAAATTTTTATTGAATTTTTTTTAATAACATGCCATACTATTAAAATTACGCACATCTGATATGTTTGTAGTTTTCGGTTATTCAATTACTGCATGGACTGTTTGAGAGTCTATTAACATCTCTTATCCTCTGACTAGAATTAAAAAAGATACTTTTTAACTAAAAATTATATTTTGAAACTTTAACATATAATTTATTGTCTTTATATATCCAATACTAATCTTAGAGTTGCATGATCTTTTTTAGTTATTGAATACATTAATATCATTAATAAATAAAATCATAAATTGATCCAAGTATAACATAGATGAGTTCTTCTGATGCAAGAATTTGACTTTGAAGTAAAAAACAGGAAGGGGTATGATAGTCAAATATTTGATCATTTATATAGGCTGGAACAGAAAAATTATATAATTATGAAGATGAATTTAATGAATATTTTTTTGATGAATAATTATATGTTATTTGTGGGTGGCGTGTTTCGGGTATGCTACTATAGGGAACTATATGGTTAATGATATTTTACCGTACAGATTAATATACCATCAACGAAAGAAGTTTATTCGCGACCCAAAATTTTACTTTTGGGATGACTCATATTTATATAAGAAATGTATGGATCAAATAATCCGAAGATGTGTACTTTTAGAGAAAACCCAAGTAATAATTCAGAAATGTCATGATTCTTAGCTTGAGAGACATTTTGAAGTCGATAGAAATGCATTTATGATCTTACAATCTCGATTTTATTGGTCTGCTTTATTTATGGATGTTAATACTTTTATAAAAACTTGCGATAGGTGCTAGTGAGGAGGCAATATATCAAAAATAGATGAAATGCCTTCAAATATTACCTTGGAGTTTGAAATTTTTTATGTTTAGGGTTTGGATTTGATGGGATTATTTATACAATCTTTCGGAAACTTGTATATTTTAATAGTTGTGGATTAAGTTTCTAAGGGGATTGAAGCTGTAGCTTCACCCCATTGTGGTGCTCAAAGTGTTGCAAAATTTCTTAAGAAAAATATTTGTAGTAGATTTTGAATGCCAAGAGTGATTAATATAGATGAGGGAAGCTATTTTAAAAATAAAAGAATTGAAGCATTAGTAGAAAATTTTGGTATTAAGCACATAATTACCACAACTTATCATCCTCAGATAGTGATTTAGCGGAAGTCTCTAATAGAGAAATTAAATGAATTTTAGATAAAGCTGTAAATCCTAATAGAAAAAACCGGTTTGCTAGACTGGATGATATATTATAGGCATATAGAACTGCTTAGAATACTTCTATAGGAATTTCGCCATATAAGCTCATATTTGGAAAGACGTGTCATTTGCCAGTAGAACTTGAGCATAAACTTGAAAGATGCGACGAGAGAGATTATTAAATTAAATGAGCAAGAGGAGTTTAGAAATGAATCTTATGAAAATGCTAAAATTTATAAGGAAAAGATGAAATGATTGAAAGATTTTAAGAAAAGATTTTGAACATGGACAAGATGTTTTATTATATAATACAAGATTAAAATTATTTCCTGGAAAACTTAATTCCAGATGGTCTAGGCCATTTAATGAAATTAAAGTTTATCCATTTAGTGTTATTGATATTAAAGATCCTCAAAATGGGAGAATTTTCAAAGTCAATGGACAGAGACTAAAACCTTACATTAGTGGAGATTGATCTATGATTAATGAGGTCTTATTGTTGGGATCAACTTGAGTAAGAATTTGGTTTTTCGTCGAGTTGATGACGTTAAACCAAGCGCTTCGTGAGAGAAACCCCATGGTTATCTTTGTTTTAGTGTGTTTGTTTCTGTTGTGGTGATTTATGTTATTGTTTGATTGAGTGTTGTAGAGTGTTTGTTGTAGGATGAATTGTTTGGAGAGTTGTGTGCTTTATTGAGGTAGTGTTTTCCTTGCTTCTCATGGTGGTTGGACTTATATGTGTTCTCTCGCGGTGGTTGGACTAACTAGATCACTACGACTCATTTCTCATTCGAACTGTAGGATAACATGGGGATATGTTAGGTTTGGACATTGGACGTTCTATCTGACCTTATTTTCTTCAACCTGGTTTAATCACTAGATGGAGAGTAACCTGTGGATGATCTATCACTATCTTTACGTTGACCTCACTTTTGGTTGAGGTCTAGAAAACTTCTTTAGTAGCCTAGGTCTAGCCATAGGACTTTCCTATTGACTAGTCTTAGAAAATTAGAAGAGGTACCCCACCATTAGAAATTCAAAACTCTTCTTTTTACTCAACTTGAAATTCCACATATTGATCTTAACCTCTAGCATTTAGTAGGTAAGATCATTATAAGAGAATTCAAGAAGAGTCCCTATAGGATTACTTGACTTTAGGGTCGACCCCGGGCGTTGACTTGGAACTAGGATACACCATATTTTCA